AACATACGACATCGCAGTTTCACTCATCCTGCCCTGAGGGCCCCACACCGCCATCTTGGATTTAGAAATGAGTGCCATATTCGTAAAGAGCACCCCCAAATACCTTGAAAATGATACCCATATTGCATTTATTTGAAAACTCGTGTCCGCCATCTTGGATTTAGAAATAAATGCTATATTTGTAATGAACACTCCCAAATACCTTGAAAACGACACCCAACTTGCCATTATTCGAAAAATCGTGCCCGCCATCTTGGTTTTAGAAATGAGTGCCATATTCGTAATGAGCACCCCCAAATACCTCGAAATGATACCCATTTTGCATTTATTTGAAAACTCGTGTCCGCCATCTTGGATTTAGAAATAAATGCTATATTTGTAATGAGCACCCCCAAATACCTTGAAAACGATACCCAACTTGCCATTATTCGAAAAATCGTGCCCGCCATCTTGGATTTAGAAATGAGTGCCATATTCGTAATGAGCATCCCCAAATACCTCGAAAAGGATACCCATATAGCATTTTTTGAAAAATCGTGTCCGCCATCTTAGATTTACAAATAAGTGCTATATTCGTTTTTTATCGACAAAACCGAGTATATCTGCAGGCACCTAATCGATATTGTCGATCGACAAAATCGAGCACATCTGTAGGCACCTGAGCGACAATGTCGGGCAAATCTGTAGGCACCTTTAACTTAATGATGAGTTAAGCAAGATACAATTTCCCCACTTTTGAGGGAAATGTTATTCCATGGCATCATTATTTGTATATTTGCGTGCGTGCCGACGAGCGTAGTTACAAGTTGCTTACGCCTACATGAATTTGGTTTTTGCCTCACTTGTGACAGTTCGTTTGATATGAAACTATCATTCTAGTATGCGTTATTAGTTGCAGCCTAATTTGTTACAAGTATGTACAAATGCCCCGAGGAACTGCCCATACATATGTTTGTTTTTACTATAAAAAAAATTGAAAATATACAAGGTCAAATAACAAAATGTGTTTCATTTTTCAAAATTTATTCATCTAATTAACACCGGATAAGCCTAGGAGCCGGAAAAATATGCAAATTGGCTGTTAACACTGTGCCTTCGCTTTCATGTCATATGTAATTTTTTTTAAAAAGAACTGTCATGTTCTAAATCGCTCTTTCCCTATTGGCCATTATCCGTAAAGGGAGTGGTTTATCTGATACGTAGTATCTTCTATTAGTTTGTGATAAGTACTGACCACAGAACAGACTATTCACGCCCCGTTAAGCCGCTAAGAAAAAGTTAAAGCGTAGTGATGACAGTGCACGTTAGCATACTGACGTTTCCCTCTCGCCCTCTCTGCAATCTTCACCCCGCGCGCTTCTACAATCAGACACCATATTGCGCGGGCGCCATATTGCTTGAATTTGCTTGTTTTGTGTCGAAGAGAAGCGTTTGCGTCGATTGATTTCCGCCCTTTAAATCCACAAATACAGTATTATTGACATTGTGCTTGTTTGTATTGATGAAAAGTGTTTGCGTTGATTAATTTCCGCCTCTTCTAATCTACAAATACAGCTTCGCCGGCGTTTTCGTAATGTATCGAAAGTGTTGTGTACCCGAATGCAATAGTTTACGACAGGACGTTAAATTGCATCATATTCCCAAGAACGAGGAAAGGAAAATACAGTGGTTAAAGTGTATACGTAGTGAAAATTTTATGGGTGAAACCAAAAACATGCTTGTTTTGCCATAAACATTTCGAGCAAAGGTTTCACACAGCGTCAAATCATCTGAAGATTGGAGCTTACCCTACTTTATTTTCGGATCTGGAGATATCCTCGGGAAGACCATCAATTGCCTCCAGAGAAAGAGGTAAAATTTACTTCTAGTACCTAAATACTGAACATTTCTTTCGATTGTTAGTCTATACGTATATGTAAAATTTTATTAAATAGGTATAAAGCAAACTATGTACAGTCAACAGCACATCAAACTACACATTTTAGTTCGAATGTCGCCCCCAGTGCTATGGAACAAGATTCATCAGTGTGTAGCTTGATGTGCTGTTGACTGTACATCACACTGACTGGCAGTTATGTATAGAGAAATTTGATTTTCTAGACTTATTGAAGGTGTCTGTTTCTGTAATGTGTTAATGACCTATTATCTATTATTTTTTTAGATATATTCAGTGACCACAGTTACTCAAGGAAGCGACACATTGATCACTCGTATACACTAACTTATGAGCAAAGACCTAATAAAGGTGCATGAACTGAGGTTTCTGGTATGTGTATCATCCTTTTCTATGTTTTATGTGATCGCAAAAGAAGAAGCATTTTAATATGAATTATTTCATTGCAGATACATATGTCTTGCCTACAATACCAGGTCAACTTGTGCCCGTTGCATCATCAAGTTCCGCACTGCACTATGCATCAGGTAATATTTGAAGTTGAATAAATAATTATTGTTTATGAAAGCATGACAATGCTTACATATTTTGTTTGTTAACAGGAATACTAGTTTTACTTCTTTTATTATATTTTATAAAACATGTACTGTATCTTTTTAGCCTCAGTATGTAAAACACCACGAAAAGTAGTCAAAAGAAGGCTTATTAAGAATGTAAAGGCCTTAACACCAAGGTGCAAACTTTTATACAATGAATATAAAAAAGTTAGAAACCAAAAAGACTACAACACACGAGTCTAAAGGGCACTGGCCTTCAGTAAAAGTGAGTGTTTAGAAGAAGTTCTAAATAAGATGAACCCATTGTCGAGAAATGTTCTGTCAATGCAAATGAAACTTTACATGAAAAAAAAGATGGCCAGAAGGTTTACAACCGAAGAGAAACTTATTGCTCTTTCAATATACAAGCAAGGTCCAAAATGTTACAAGTTTCTCCAAAAGATATTCATTTTGCCTTCAAAATCAACTTTGAAGAACTTGATAAGCCAACTAAATATTGGTGCTGGCATAAATCCACAAATATTCGACCTTATAAAAAATCAGGTAAATATTTAATAATTACTTAAGCAAGTGTTGTAAATATTGGTAGTATGTAATAAAATTATGAAAAACTTATATTTTACTATAAAATTACAGGTAAAAAGCTGGGACAGCAAAAGAAGATTGTGTACAGTGCTATTTGATGAAATGTCACTAGAAACTGCTCTAACATATTCAAATTACAAGGACGACATTGTTGGATTTGTTGATTTAAATGGAAAAACCAACAGCTTTACAGACCACGTTCTTGTTTTCATGTTACGAGGCGCTGTCTGTAAATGGCAGCAACCTGTAGCATTGTGTGTACATTGAATAAATTTAAGAAAAAAATTAAAAACAAAAAATTCAATAAATAACATTAAAAAGAATTTCTAAAACTTGTTTTATTTATTATAAACTCGAACAGTTTTAATTCTATAGTACAATACAGGTAGCTTATATGTACCCTGGTGGTACTTGCTGCGGCTGAATAAACGTTACCGTTGCCTACAAATTAAAAAAAAGTCTATTCCTATGCCGTCAATCAATGTCAATGCCGTCAATGGATGCCGTAATACTATAGATACAGAATATCCAGCTACGGGTTATACCATTTAAAAAAAATAATGTCATGTTCTTAACGTGCACTACGTTTAAAGACAATATATGCACTTGGCGGTCTGTTACGTAGTAACTCTTATTAGTTTGTGAGACTATTAGATACTAACGCATACTGACGTATGTAATGACTTCATCAGATAACAGTCTTCTTGCAGTCTGGAAAATTTGGTTGAAATTAAACTGCAATCATGGCCGAGAAAGTTGCGTTAAAAGAAAATGCTCTAGACTTAGCTCTAAATTCTGAAACAACGAATATTGTCGGCGACGGTCCTGCGGAGAATATCCTTGGTTTGTCTCCAGTGCAAATTCAACAGGAATATTTTGAAAACTTACTAGACTGTGACTGGGTCAGGTAAGTTGCTTTTGCTTTTACCAGTGTCCCAACATACACACAAATTGAATTTGTTTACAGAAAAGGTCAGAAGTGCAAGTTGTCTTCATACGGTCTTTCTTTATGCAAATGGGACGTAGTTAAACAAAAAAGGATCCAATCCACAAAATTATCAAAAAATGAGTTATGTGTATTAAACGGTTCCTAAAGTCTAACCTCTTAGATCAGCAAAAAGATCCAACATATAAACATAAATAAATATCTCTAGAGTTACATGACGTTATTAATTTTGAAAATAAAACAATAGTGAGAAACAGTTTTGAACTTAAAACTGCCATATCGAAAGTGACTAGATGTGCATAGATTCTTTTTGTTTAACTATGTGTAATTGTGATAAAAATTGCTGTTTTCTTTTGCCTTTTTCTGTTTCAAGTTTTAATTTGTATACTTTGTAGTATAATACCCTAACATTTCTCAGTTTTCATTGTAAGAGCGCTGTAGCTAGAGTTTGAGTGCCAATCATTGTAAAGAAGCTCTGTCACTGGACAAGAATGACATCAGAATGCTGACTAGAGCCTTGACAGGGCATTGTGGCCTGAACAAGCACATGTTAAATATTGGGCAGAGAGAAAATAGAGCATTTAGATTGTGTCAGGAGGCAGATGAACCTCCCGTGCATCTCCTCACCCATTTGTGAGAGTGAATAGGCATCATTTAGGTGTGCATGCTCCATTGTCGACCTCATCCTCACTTTCCATCAGGTGTGATGGAGATCGCATATGCACTTATATTTTATAAAAAAAAACACCAGTGCTGCCCCTTGATGGTATAAAGCTCCATACTGAGAAGGCACAGGTCACAACCAGAGGACGTAAAAACTGTTGGAGCTAGGAAAGTCCTTCAGTTCTTTAATGCTATTTGTCTTTACTCTGAACTGCAATTAGTGGTGATCAAATAGATCAGTAATAATATAAATAGATAATGGTCACAGTGATGAGCATAGGTCCTCAATGAAGCCAACCTAATAATGATAATAGATTTCGAGTGTCTTTCTGTAACTAGGGTAAAGGTAGCTTTAGCTAAGGGGTATTGTAAATCAAGATGTTATTCCACTTCGGATTATTCAGAGGGTTTACTTAGAAAGGTAAAAATAAAATAGGTAAAAACAGTATGTCTCCTTCTGATAAGTCAACACAGTGTGTCTTCTTCTGTTACCTATTGGGATGACCAGTAATTACAACTGCAAATAAGGTTCAACAAAGAGACTCGACAAAATCCACAAAAACTATGTTTTGTTGTGGCCTGTGTGTGCAGTAGATAGCTGACAAACTCCGGTAGAATAGGCTGCAGTGAGAAGGAGACCTCCTGGTTTACACTGGCAATATCATGATTAATTGCAACAGCCTTGAATAAAAGAAAATGAAGATTGAAGGTGAAATGGACGTTGGGTAAAAACCTCAAAAAACTGGTAACTAAGTATCTCTCATTAGTTGGCAGTTTTCCTTGTTGGCTTAATGTACTATGCTTAGATTGTATATTGTGTAGTGAGCCACATTTAAAGATATACAATATTAAAATTTGTTCTTCAAAATTGTACTTCTGATTTTCAGATTAAGAAAGTGTAAGTAACCTTACACCTTCTAACATTGTTGTTTTCAGATATGAAAGAAGTAATAGGAATCATTTACTACAGAATGTAGCATTTGCTTTATTTGGAAGTCCAAGTTTTGAAGGAGAATTGTCTGAAGTTGATGACAACCATTGTGCACATTTAGAAGGCTACAATTCCAGGCAAAAGGAACGAGTTTTAAAAGTATATGAGAAACTCTGTGACCAGAGTAAGTTTGTTTATGCTCATTTATTGTTGAACACAGTGGCAGATTTGCAGTCTTGGCCACCCTTGGCCCCAGGCCACATAGTCAGTACCAGCCGCCCCTTTCTCAGCACTCAGATATTGGTAGACTACATAATGAATTAATTTATTGTCAACTTTTATCGAAATCGATTTAGAAATTTAGTTAACTATAATAGCTGCTAGTTTTTAATGTTTTCGGAGGTTTCAGATTTAAATAAAACATTTAAAACGGTTTTTTCACAATTGGCCGCACCTAAAATATGGCCGCCCTAGGCCCGGACCTACTGGGCCTTAGGACAAATCCGTCACTGGTTGAACAGAGTGTGGTTAAGCTGAGTTTTATAATGGCTTAACAATATAAAATATGAAAATTCTTTGTTAAAAAATGTACATTATGTCAGGTATACAGTGTTCTGATATATTAAGATTTATTTTTGTTGGAAAGAGAGTACCTCAATAGTGGTCCCATTTCAATTTGAAGAAAATATTTCATCTCCAAGGGTGGGAAACTAGGGGATGGAACCGGTTGAAGTCGGTTGTTTTAGTACTCCGTACTGAGATTGTTTCCATCATAGTCATTATTGGTATCAATTTTTCAGGCAAGTACTCTCAAAATGATGAAGATATTATTATGTCAGTGCTACTTATAGTGTGTGCGAGGCCTAAGCCTCTGAAATTCTATCAGTTGGAGCCTTCAAATTACTGGTTGGATTTGCATCAGAGAAGTGACATTGATATCTGGTGTACTCCTGTTTTTAGAGTCCGGAAGTGCATTCCTACTACTGATGGGGGTATGTATTTTCAGCAACGCACTTGCTTTCTTTGATTTCAAACTGTGTGTAATCAAAAATTTATTAAATTATTGGGAAATATTGAAACTTTTGATGCTTTATTTAGGTATAAACCGTTTATCTGCATTGTTTTCGATAATAAATTAAGTAAAACTGATTTGATTACTTCATGATAATTTTATTTTGTGACAGTAAAATCCTGCCGATTGTATATAGACGAAAATGCAAGAGTATATCAAGACTGGGATTCATATTTAAGAGACAACACTCTACCCAAATGTGTTATCATTGTGCCTGAAAATGGAGAATATCAAGGAACTATTATTGAGGTAATATTGTTATTGATTTTTTTTTTTAATACATAACAATAGTTTATTTATTCTACTTTTTTTTTAATAGGATCTTATATATAGGGTATTAAGTACAGTAATGCCTTTGATGACAGACACCTCTTTTCTGTAACCATAGCTATGTAATATAAGTTAATTTCAATTGTATGAAAGTGTTTAAACATTTCATTGTTTCGAGATTAGTTACTTGCAAATGTAATATATTGATTGGCTTCTATTCAAACCTTTAAATGGTTCTTATTTTATTAGTATACATTTGTGTCTAAAATAACTGAGAAATTATTTTAGACACAAATGTATATTAGCAAAATTTGGCAAAATTCTAGAGCAGAGGATCTTTCCTTTTGTTCACCGTCGCTACTAGCCTTTGCACAAAAGCGCATTGTGATACTTGCACCGATAATTCGAGCAACGTATAAATTTATATAACTTAACAAAACACAAACACACACAAAACAGCTTGAAGAAAACAACCCTTTGTGGTTATGTTTAGCCTATCGAAATGTTAAATCCAACACTGCACTATTTATTTATATCTGTCTTCTATCTATTGGTAAGATTTAGAGATACAATACAGTACCGTCAGAAACAAAGATCGAATAGGCTGCTACACTTACCTAAAGTTTAACTATTTAATCACATAGAATAAATAATGCCTCTATCTGGAATCGCAGATATGGTAATGTAACGAAAAAAATTTGTTAGTCTCAATTTACATAGCGGCGGAACGGAATGGAATGGAAGAGACGATTTCGCCTTGAGGCTGTAGTATTTTGTCGACGTTTGACATCACACTGTGCCTGAATTCCACGGAAGACGCGCGACGTGATTTTTGGCTCATATCTAGTTTGTACGTTACATGATTGACTATAAAGCTCATTACGCTATGTACAATATCGTTACAAAAATTCGCTTCCATTCCGTTCCGCCGCAATATAAATTGAGGCTTAAGATTTTTTGTTTTTTATTTTAATCATTTGGGGAATCACAGTAAACAACAAATGTAGGTAAATAAGCTCTGCCCATTGGTAATAAATATTGAATAAATTATTTCGTACTTATTTTCAGTTTAAACTTTATTAAATGTTGTTTAAACATTGTTATAGGGTGAAGAAGATTTCGCAGTAAAACTGACGGTTTCACCATCGCCTACTCTAGGTCTAAAAGCAAGAGTGCTAAGCTCTGTAGACACTGCAAGTACAGTGGCATCTATTGGAGCAGTTGGTGTCCTTGGCGTAGCAGCGTTTACTCCAGTCGGCCCTATTGTTCTAGCTGGTGCTGCTATAGCTACAGTTACTACAGGCATATATGGTTTGGTCCGATCTTCATTGCATTTGCATGACCGGACTGTTCATGAACAGGTAATGATTGATTTGTTATCGGGCATTTTATGTACACAGTGTTTCTTTGAAAAGGGCAAATTTTTGGGATCGATTTTACCTATGAAAAGAAATATTATAATATAATATAATATTAATAATTTTAAATTGGTGTATATTTTTCGTACTTTTGACAAACTAATATTTGAAAGGCTCGTATTTTTTATTATTATTTTTTTGTTTATTTATATGATTTATGTTAAAATGTCTTCATAATATGTACCGTTATGATATATAGATAGGTAAGTAAGGTCTGTCACTTTCTTAAGTTGTATTTAATTTAAATGAAAAGAATTAAGGTGCAATTATCAATTGACAATTTTAACATATTATATCGGAAATGAAACAATTTTTTTTCGGATCTGCATGGCGTAACAAACCTACGTTTCGGGCCTTCACAAGTTTCATAAAACTCTTTTTTTTTTTTTTTTTTTTTTATACCTGACAGGCTAATGACTCCACTCCACCTGATGTTAAGTGGAAAGTGGTATCGAAACGCGAAGGAACCTAGTGCAGCGATGGAATATTCACTGCACTAGCCGCCTCCACCCTGCCTGCCTACTCTAGTTTGTGTGAAAAAATATACGCGATTTAGAACCGAAAAAATAGTTCAATTTCCGATGATATCGATCGCGATAACCTAAGAACTCTGTACATTACATCGTTTTAGGAATGGCCCACTGTACTAGAGTTGCTTTTATTAATAGAAAGAAAGAAGCATTTATTTGTAATACTAATAACAAATAAAATATTATAAGAATTTAAATAAAAAAAATTAATGAAATAAAATACAAAATATTTTCAGCTGGAGCCTGAGAATGTAATATATTTTTTTCTTTTTTTACAGTCCATAAGCCCGACAGATGCAGAAGCGCGAGGCAGTTGGCTCAACATCGCCGCGTCGAGTGTGGGTCTGGCAGCCGGTGCCGCCTCCAGTCTTCTGCACAAATCCGCTGTTGCAGGCAGTAACTTAACTAAGGTACAGTCAGTGTGAAAATTATCACTACGTATAAGACGTCCAAAAATATGGGGATTTACCATACCATCTACTGGGGGTCTACCATAACCTTTCCAAAAAAAAAGCCTTTTTAATGTAAGCTTAAAGTAAGCTTATTATAATATTACTCATATTTGTACCTAGACGAACCTGTCAACCAAGTTAATGTATTATTGCAAAAATGATTGAAAGATTAAATTTTTATTGAATTGATATTCAATTATTTTTTGTGAAATTACTCCACTAGTTTGTTATAATTATTAATACAAAGATCGAACACTCAGAAAAAATTCCTTCGATCCGGTCGGATTCGAACCGACGTCTTCTTGCATACCGTGCCAGACGCTATACCAACTAAGCCACGGAACGAACCAACGGACCTCACGAATTTTTCTATGTGCTTGCGTCGTGTCTTTGTATTTGGTCTTTCAACGACTTTTTAGTCGTAGCGCCATCTATTGAAAGAACGAATGACTTCCCAATATTGTCTATTCCTTAGTAAAAATAGGAAAGAGATAACGCTATGTGAACTATATAATGCCATCTCTTTCTTTTTTTATCTCCGAATCGCTTTATCGTAGTATAACGTTTAAGTACTTAATGTTATTTACATTCAGAGAATTTTGACTGTTACGAAAAGAAAAGTATGTAATAATAAAATTTATTAAAATTACGTTGTTTTCAATAATTTTTCCGCATTTTCATGAAAAAAAAAATAAAACAAGCCGAGTCTTGATAGTCACGTTGTGCATTCGGAACGTAGTCCAGTGTCAACTGTTAGTTTCGCCTAGGAGCACGTATATGGCGCTGTTAATAAGTTTACGAAATAAACATCGCATATTTTTATTTAACGAAAAATTCTTTACCATGTGCCAATAAATAAAAAATAAACAAAATATTGAAGAGATATAATAATATGTAAATAAATAAATTCAACTTAACTTTTAATCATTACTAATCAATATTAAGACAATAAAACTGAAAATAATATTGTGTCCATTGCATCAGTGTAACTATTTTAAGATTGTTAAATTTGACATAAGAGCAATATTACTTTAATGTTAAAATCTCGTCATAGTACGAACTCAATGAATGAATAGTCACTAAGCTGCCAATAAAATGTAAGGTTAAAGTAATATTGTTTTAAGAGGTTGTGGTAGGCCCCCTGACCGTCCTAAGCGTCCGACCCTCCCCTCTTTAGCGCGGGAACTTTGGCAGAAGCCAAGGTGGCCGGGGGCATCGTTGTGGTAGAATCCGCGGGATCCCACGGTGCCCACAACAGCCGGCCAAGGGGGTGCGCCGGGGGTTTTTAGTGGGTATGCCCTCCATCGGAGGGTCAGTCCCACATAACCCTCGAGCCTCCCCGGGCTCGCGGGTATGCATAAAGCATTTCCCCCCGATAAAAAAAAAAAAGGCCCCCTGAACATGTTCCAAACTTTGAGCATTTGCAATAATTATTTATGTATTGTTCAAGTTGTCTGTTATTTTCAGTACTGCAATCAAATTACCAATGAAATGTCTTAAATATGGTCTTATCCTGTTAGTAACACATTTTATAATGGAAGAATGATGTTTTTCAGACTGGCCAAGCTCTAGCAGTGTCCGTGGAAGTACTTCGGCACGCGAACATCGTGACTGGCGGCGCTGGAGTCCTTAACAGTCTTGTTCATATTATTCTTAAGGTATCTGTGGTCCTGAATTCAATTTAAGATAAGTTAGTTATACAGAGTTATTTGTTAAATACTAACAACCTCGCAGGACTATTACTACAATCACAAACTACAACTTTGTTCCATGACAACAATCCAGCACATATTCATACATATGAAAGTATTCATACAAAAAAAAAATTAAATAGATCGTTTTAATTGATGATAACTCTGTGCAAAAAGCAGGATCGCGTGTGTGGGTCACCGTCGACGAGGACGCTTGCGCGTTCGTACTTACTACCACATACAGACCTAAACAGTATCAGACAGTACTACAAAAAGTTCAAAGTTTATTTTTGGTAAATTTATTATATTTTGTAAAGTCATGAAACGAAAGTTATTCTTTATGAACGAGTGATCGGAATTGCGGAAAACGAAAGAATAATATTTCTTTCCACAAATCCCAGAACTTCTCGGAACTGATTATATTTGAATATGCGTGTTATTTATTCATATTTGAGTACATTGATGACAAATTATTATTTCCTATTAAGTATTTGCTACAAATTATTGTCTCAAAAAATAATATTGTTTGTGTGTCTGTATAGGTACTTACTTATTAAATACTTTAGCCATTTAAGAAGTAAATTGAGACAACCTATGTTTTGGAAGATTTAGAAAACAAGATTTAAAAAAGTCATTTTATACGCTTTCATGACGAAATGGGTATGTCTATACTAAGAAAACATTCATGCTTTAAGTAAATTAACTCTCTCAATTCCGATCACTGTTAATGATGTTAGTAATTATGGTCTTGCGAGGTTGTTAATATTTTACAAATTACTCTGTATATCAGACTACATGTAAGTCCATTGCTGTCAGAAAATAAGGTTATGCTGCATATCGTAAGTGTTTCAGCCATATTAAAGCATAGAATGAAAACATGCATCACGCACACGCACAAGTAAGGACCTTTCCCAAGACAAGCAGAGTTCATAGTTTAAGACTCGCTCAGAAGTTTATAATATTTGATCATGCCACACGACAGAACACACTTCAAAATGAGGATGCACTAACTTCAATTCACATAATTCAAAAGGACTTTTGAACATAGCATAAGCAATAGAATCTCCATTCAGCGACCACTGCTTTAAAAATGTACTTAATAGAAAAATACTGCAATAGCTGGTGCAAATAAACAGTTATTGGAATTTGTACATAAATCAAGGTACCCATATTTATTGCTTTAGTCCATTGCCAGTCTATTTTTATGTCTGAGGTTTAACAGTTGAGTCTAGACTCAACTCTCAGCACCTAGGTACTAATTTATTAATAGTTATTTCTTGATGCACTTTAGTTAATTTTTTACATTATCCTGCTAGTCATGTCACTTAAGAGGTTGCTTTTTTGACATAAAAGAGTGTTGCAGTGGGAAAGATGATAATATAGTGAGTGGGATAAACTGACTTAGGAGAATAACGATTCAAATTCATTGGTTGTGTGATGTGACTGAATAACATGTTAACCGGTTCAAAGGCTAGGTTAAAGTAGCACACAAATAAACGATAGTCTATCAAAAGGTCGGTACGAGTGAGAAATGCGAAGGAGATACGTCAGAAACATTAGAAGATAGGTATTATAGTATATAAAACATACAGTTAAAATTACCACTTTGAATGAGTAAATATTTTTTGTAATTGACAGTATCCTCAATTTGCTTTTTATGTATTTATTTATTCCTCAGCTTACAAAGTCCCATAAATACATACCTTCTAGACTAACGAACATAATAATATATAAAAAATATAATTAATTATTTACACGCATTGCCTGTGACGTGTGACGCAACGCGGGTGTCCGGTAACCAGCCTCTGAAACGTCGGTACCTGACACCCTTCGGCCAAAACTCCTTCATGGAGGTCAACCGATGTTCAATTGGTACTCTCACCACAAATGAATTAAAATTAATATTGTGGCTACTGCACACTAAACAGTATAAATGGCAAACTTAATGCCATTAAGCATTCTCTCCCAATCAACTGGAGAGCTGGATTCAGAATAATTAACGGGTGGTGCATAACATGACAAGTTAAGATTAAAGACAGGTTGGATTGAACTTTATAAATATAACATATAATACATAACTAACTATAACCATATGTAAAAATACGTAAATCGATTACAATGTCGAGACTAATGGGATGCAGATGGAGACTTCAACATGAAATTGCGAACTAATTACTTGAAAGCTAGCCTATTCGGCGCTTTTTGAATATGAGTTTGCATAGCGTTCCCGAGTCGAGGTCTTTGTCAATCGAAATTTTATAGTTCGGTTAACTGTATGGTTTGGTATTTATATGTTAAGTAAAATCATGCCCGCTTGACGATAAACCCTGTATTAACCAAACATTATTCCTATAGTACCGCAACCACGGCGAGAAACCAACGAAACTGGAACTGTTCCAATTCACGGCAGCGACGTTATTCTTTTGCAATGCAGTGATGTCCAACCGGACCGCTCAGCAGATTATCGAGGACGCTCAGGCCAAGACCATCAATGAGTACCGCGCCACTTTGCGTAGCAATAGACACAGGTCAGTTAATAGTTGTTACTCTTTGCAGACCGATTACCCATAATAGCTTATCTCTATACATTGATCATTTCTCCCCCGTTGCCGTTCAGAATGTGTCAAGGTCAGCCAGTTTATTAAAATTTATAAGCAGGGATCGAAATAGGTAGTTTTTTTACCCAAACTTCGAGGAACATAGACAGGAAATGGAGACTGCCTTACGACAATATTTTTTAGGTCCTGGAGCTTTTCGGGATTCGGGAAATCACTTAAGAACATTAAAAATTGACGTAATTAGGGAAAGGGAGGTACACTATATTTATCTTAACTTTGCGACACACAGTGTGTTGGATTTGCGACATTGCGGACATTGGACTTTTTTTCACTATACCTCTTTAAAAAAAATGCCAATCGAGAGATCCTATTGTCCTAATTAAATATTGTGATCACATTTTGCCATAAATCTAATAGTTTAGTCGGAAAAAATCGATCGGTCACAAAGTCGGTATTTTTTTGTATGAGACCATACTTTTAGTGCCCCATTGTTACAAAGTCTTAGTCGATCCAGTCTTGGAATCACTACAGGCGTATTATTAGACCTATCTTCTATAGATTTGCACTCTAAACGCGCGCCCAAACCTACCTATTCACTGCTTATATAGTTTAGTTATTAGGTAAATAGAACTACCTATTCCGATCCTGTTTATAAGACTTACTAGAAAATAAAGTTTTTATTTTTTTACTTTATGATACCAAGTGACGGGACGAACAAATCTAAATTAATATTGTAAATAGTAATAGTGCAGTATTTGCACCAGATTATTACTACTTTATTTTATTCCCATTAAAATCATCTTCTACCATCAATCAACATAGAATTATATTCGTCCATATCATGGACCAATTACTCAAGAGGAGTGCTAATCGCGATACAAAACGGCGTATTTAGTATCTATCGGTACACCAGATGTCGTAACGAGTACCAAAAAGCTATTTTGCATTGACAAGCTGCAATTTATCAAAGCTATAATATATATAACAATTTGTAGTGATAACAAACAAATCAACTAGATGGCGCTAATTTCACAGACTTTTATGGGTAATGCCGGCTATTGTTTTATTTTGTTTAAGATTAGCGTCACCTACCCATATAGTGTTAATTTATAAATTAATTTGTAATGTAACACACAACGCCATACACTTTATTAAAGTAAGATTATGCATTGTCAATGTAGACAACACACAGCTTTGACTCAAACCTTAGTGGTTTTTAATTGTTGTAATAATTATTTGTTATGTTACCTATGTAATTGATTGGTAAGAAATTTAAAAAAAAATGACGACGTATTTGTTACAAGTTCAGAAAATAAATTTAGCTCATGGTCAATATTTGAATAATATTACGAGGAAAAAACTGACTTCTTATATTTCATATTAAAGAGGAATTAATTGATATCCACCAGCATTTACATAATATAAACTACTTCCAGGCTCTCGATGAGCGCCATTTACATATAAGACGGAATTTTGACCTTTTACAGAGTTACGATCTCTAGTATGGAGACTAGCAGTCATATTGAGTTATTATTGGTTCATGCCCATATACGACGTATAATATATAGTTAACAAACAACTACGTTTTACAGGAGAATATTCGACAAACTCAGCGCCGAATCCAGACGTATGCAAGGCACAGTGCAAGGTAATACTGAAGTCATCAAAGGCATAAAGAACATCGTCGACAAGGACCAGTACTTCGCAGATATCCTTCGCATTAACAAGGAGTTAAATGAGCACAAAATGAGAATATCTATGACGTCAGATGGTCAAGTGAACTTGAACGCCCAACACAAGTTCCATCCATCAGATTTGCATAACATTGGTAAACAGGAAAGGATACAACTATTCGAATCTTTAGGTCCAGCTGATACGACTTTAAGGAATGTTTCTACTAAAGTAACACCTTCAACGACAGCTGTGGGAAAGTATGTCGATGGTGAAGAAGATAACACGATCATAGTAAATATCCGTCCAGGGGAAGTAATACGTATCGGTGCATTCTTGTTAAGAATCACCACTTCAGGCGCTGAGAACATCGCTGCGCGACTCCAGAATCTAAGTCAAGACATTTACGTCAATCTTATGACAGTATCCTTCAACGTTCTATCCAAGTTGGTGCCGAAAGATATTGCAAATTTAAAATTATTGAGCCCAGACGAAGATCTGATTGAGCAAATTGTGAAATTTGTATTTAATTATATGAAACACAGTAGGCCTTTGGGTGATCCTTGCAGGGATACAGATAATGGTATTATTGTGGTGTTGAAAGAGTTCTTCCAAGAAGGAATAGTCCGTCAGGAAACTATATTGTTTTTGAAGGATAGACTGGTTGCTTGGATTGACGAGGAACTTGATCGTAGGCGGCAGCTGTATCCAAATAAGAAACAAATCGTCTGTCAGTTGTGTCAAGGCGTTAGATTCGCTTAAAAGAGTACCTTAGAGTACCTTAAAAGAAAAAAATAATATATCTACTGAATACAACCCGACGGAAACCTGGATATCTACTCCCTTCCACCTTCGTCTAATGTCACACCAGGCTTGCCCTCTCGAGTATTTTCGGCACAGTTATTGATTACACAGAAACAAACCCCTCGGGAAAACGTGTGAAGTCTCCAACCCGCATTGGGCCAGTTTGGCGGACTATGGCCTAATCCCTCTGATAGGAGACCCGTGCCCAGCAGTGGGACGTATAAATAGATTGATGATAATGATGAACCACAATAACAAATATCATTCGAAAGATTTTTAGGTCCCATTTCCTACTTCAAGTATTAAAATTTATTATATATATATATAACACATTTTTATGCTGATCACAACACATTCATCGTGTCGTTTTTCAGTGAATACGTCGGATTCTGTTTTTAATTGCTTGTTATACGGTGGGACACGAAAAAATTGAAATTTGTATCTTATGTCATCTACATGGCACATTTTTTTGTAAAAAGGGTTATTTATTATTTTGTTTTTGGGAATTAGCAAAATGTCACTCGGCGTGTCAACGTTCATGACAGTGTCTTTAATACACATCGTTTCTTAGTTTTGTATAATATTATTGTTTGTCAATGTTTATGAATTTCCAGCACCAAACACAAAAGTAAACTTATGAGCTTGAAAGTTCATTAATACTTTACGTAACTCACTGTCCTTACCTAGACCGTTAAGTCAACATGTTGGTACATAGTATTATGTAGAGAGTCGCTATATATTTCATTTCTGTACAAGCTTTATGAAAACAACACATATCACACTACGAGGCCAATTTTATAATGAATATAAAATAAATATATTTACATATTCAATATATTCGTATCTATATTATTAAAATAGCAGTGAATGATAGCGAGCTAAGTGCACTGTGATACGTAATTATACATGTACTATATTTGTAGAATAGAGGCGAATAAAAAAACTGAAAATAATCTTAGTGTCTTTATCTAACGTCATTACTGTTTGTTTAAAACAGAGTATAAAACACATTGAAGCTATTACAAGATGAGGGTACTGTGTCAACAATGCTGTAATATTAATATTTTACACGCACTTTTCCAATAATCGTGATAAATAGAAATATTTATTTGGAAACTTTCGTGCTTTTAACTCAGCCTCTGCTTAGTTCCTAGCAATGTTAGTCAAATGTAATGTCGGGGATATGCAATTATGCGTAACTAGCATACGTCATAAAGTTGCCATTTCGGTAAGTTAGCCTGATTTACTGGACTCTATTGTTATCAGTCCGTAAATAACTTTATTAATGCTTACTGTGCAAAAATGGAAGTCATTGAAATAAAGTAATAACGTTTGAACCCACTCCTGTAAAATTTGATCTCGTCAAGATACGTGCTTTTTATCAATGTTACGTACGCGCCTTTGCACTGTCCCCGACGAAATTGTATTTTGATGTAATAGAATATAAGCGTTTACAAATATTTTACAACATACCAATATTGTGCCTTTTCACAATTGATTCTCATTTGCTTAATAGTATATATAATGTAAACAAATAAATAAATAACGCACAGACTCAACATATAATGATCTATTTTAAATTATTCTTCTGTTATATCAATATTTAAATAGCGAGCATTATCAAAAGTATTAACTTTTACTGATTTCTGCGACTCCTTGAACCTATTCTTCCTGATCCTGATTATACAATAAAAACGTCGTTGAAACAAATCGATTACTGAACCATTTAATTCACGTCACCAGTGTTTTAGTCGCCGCGCAAACGGGTGCCTTGTGTTGGATACAAACAACTGGAAACTAGAAGCGAATATTCTATTTTCATACCCTAAATTACCCTAAG